CCTCCATGAGCCTGCGCCGCCGCTGCCCCCCCCCCAGCTTGAGCCGGCCTCTATGTTGCCTGTAGCTTTGACATTGGCCCCCTTGAGACCTTTCTCCAAGTGTTATCACCTCAATTCCAGAATATCTTTGGCCCTGGAACCTAAGCATCCTGGGCTCCACCACGATCATTGGATGCCACCTCCACCACCACACGGCCCTGAGACTCCTCCTTGCGCCCGGACTTTGGTTCCGAGCCAGCTTCCATGCCCTTCCTTCACCATCTGTCTGCCTGGACCCGTACTATAACTATGGTTCTTTGAGTAGATCTTTGTGAATTCACACATCCTTCCCTCATTCCCTCTTGTCACATTGCTTCTTAGTGGCAGTTGGGGAGCTGAGGAAGGACCATTAGAAATGGAAACAGGGAATGTGGGAAGGTGGGCCCTCTAATGATCTCTTGATTTTTAGCTCTATAAGGTTCCAAAGATTCGTGTTTGCGCAGAAAGTTACCCATTAGTGTGAATTCAGACATCCATTCAAAGAAACATAGTTCTGGTAAGTAAACTATCCTTTCATTACTTACAATTGAACAGATCAAACAGCAAACTGACAAACATGACTGCTTTCGGAAAACAGACTTCAACAGACTCGCTGTCTGTTTCCAACAGACAAAAAAGAGGGAAAGAAACACTGAGCCGAGAGTTGGGGCTCTCTTTTGATTTCAGAGACAGAAGGGGACAATTGGCTAGTGCTGGATAAATTGACAAACACCCCAGCCCAGAAAGGTTCCTCCCAGCCAAACCTACTAAAGGCAGCATTCAAGGTTGCAAAAACTCCCAAAAGTTCCAGGTTCTTCTTCCTCTAATGTTAGGAATTTTCAACTGAAATTCTGTCCACTGGGAGGTGAAACTCACTGGATGATCTTCCTGGGATGTTCTCTGAACCTCTTTGGCTTCGCCTTCCTTGCAGGGGGCAGTTGTGAGGGGACAGTTGGAGAGGGAGGGCAGCCACATGTGATGCCTCTTGTCCTAATTGAAAGAAAAGCCAGCTGTCCATATAATCCATAAAATAACTCAATAAAGAGTGAAGCCAGGTGGTGAGTGCCCCCAGTGGTGAAGCCCCTTTAAAAAAGAAAAATGGAAAAGAGGGACTCAAAGTATCAGGGTCCCTGTAGATTTGTGGGGACTTCTTTCTCTATTCTTAGTGTAAGAGGCCTTCCGAAAGGGTGTGGGAAGCAAGGGTCATGAGTACGAGCAGGTGTTCTAGCCATGCGTCTCATCCTAAACCAGCTTAAAATGTGACAGAGAACCAGTTGCCTTTGTCTTGGCGCTGCTAATACAGTGGTGCCTCGCTTAACGGGCACCCCATTTAACAACGAAACTGCATAGCGACGAAGATTTTGCCGATCGCATTGCGATGTTCCCTATCGGGAAAAATCGCTTTGCAATGATCAGTACCCTGTTTCACTTACCGATCATTGCAAAGCGATGATTTTTTAACAGCTGATCGGTGATTCCAAAATGGCCGCCGGGTAAACAGAATGGCCGCCTGCTGTGTTTTCGCGCCGATTCCTTGCTTACCGGGCAGCAAAAATGGTAGCCGTATGGAGGATTTTCGCTTTAAGGTGAGTTTTAAGCCTATAGGAACACATTGAAGGGATTTCAGTGCATTCCTATGGGCTTTTTAAAATCGCATAGTGACGAAATCGCTTTGCAGCTATTTTTGCTGCACCGATTATCGTCGCTATGCGAGGCACCACTGTAAACTGACCTGACCATGTGCAAAATGCACTTTCACTCCCCTCTGAATAAGAGTGGCTGATTCCTCATGTTTGGGGCTAGAGCAGTGGCTTCCAACCTTGGGCAAGCCAGGTATTGTTGGACTAGAACTCCCAGAAACCCAGGCCAGCACAGCTGGTGGCGAAGGCTTCTGGGACTTGAAGTACAAGACCATCTGGGGTTACCCAAGTTTGGCTACCACTGGGTTAGAGGACAGAGCATTTGCATCTGGAGGTGGGAGTCCCAGGCAGTGCCAATGCCAACTTGGGCATTTGGGGAGTTGCCCGGGAAAGAGATGAATGTCTGCCAGCTCTGGGGCCTGCTGAACACCTTCTGTCCTTCTTTTCTGACAGAGAACCAGCTGGAGACTGACAGGGCCCAAAGGCAGCAGCTGGACAGGGTGGCATCGGGGCAAGTGAAGACCTTGGAGGAGCGTGTGAAGTTTCTGGAACAGGAAAAGAGTGAGGCCCTCCAGGTACAGAAAGTCACCCGGGTCCAGCACCCTGTACCAGGTCCCATGAAGAAATGAGAAACATTTTGAGGGTTTTTTTTTAACTGCAACCTCGTGTTTGGCTGAAGGTGGAAGTTTGCAAAAGTACCGCCCAGCTTGCACGCTGGTTGCAGGGTGCTTGTGCAGAATGCTCCCAGGTGGAGGCAGCCGTGCTTGACCCTTTTGGGTAGGATATACTAAGCACACTCTCAGTGCTATCACTGATCAGCAATAGCACGGATCCCTGATCAGTAATCAGGATGGGATTTCCTTCAGTTCCTTGTTAAACGTTTACAGTCCAGATAAAGTTGACGAGTCACAGTTCTTGTGTCAAGAGGGGAGAAGGTGTCTGAAAGTGTAAGGTTTTGATCCAGGTTCCATGTGTCAGATTTGTCAGTTATGGTAAATATTAATTTTATCACATTTATATAATTGTAAATAATATATAATAAATAATAGATATGATAAAATTTTATATAACAATAACATATACAATTATGAGTTGTTTGACAATTGAAAATGTTCGGCAGTCATCACTCTTAATCAGCATGGACGTCCCCATTTCCAGGTGAGGCTGAGACTGACACCTTGGTTACTTACTGAACTAGACTCATCGTAAGGGTTGAGACTTGCCTATTCCTTTCTCTTCCTCCCCCCCAAAAAAAGATTCTTAACTTACCTCATTTTTCTACTTATATTTAAAGTATCTTGCACTGGAAACAGCCAGTCAGTTAAAAGCAACACTGCCAGAAATGAGAACTAGAAACCTGCTTTCTTTTACAAGGCCAAAGACCTCTTTTGAGATTTTGAATATTTGGAGGAAAACCAACAGACTCTGCTCTAGTAACTTGAATTCCCTGGATCAGCCGATTCTAAGCCAGTACCATCCAAATGTTTCAAATGACAGCTCCGTCCCCGTTCCCCCACTCCGAACAACTATGGATGATGCATCTGGTTGGGTGAGATCTGCTCTAGATTGAATCATACAGTTGGAGGGGGACCTGAAAGGATGTCTCGTTCAGGGAGTCTGCAGCCAAGATCGCCAGCCATCAGAGCCTGCCAGGAATAGGAAGACGTTTGCTTGGTGGTTTCATCTTTGGCCAAAGCTTAGGAAGGGGAGGGGACTCCACCATCTTCAGCACCTTTTCCCATTCTCATATGCTGCCCCCTTCAACAAAGAGAAGGAAAAGTGATTCCCCCCCCTCCGGACTCCAGGTCCCAGGATTGTTCAAACTGGCTGAAGTTTTCTAGAAATGGCAGGCCCAATCTAGCATTCCCACCCCCCCATCTCTGCCTCCCAGCGACACAGAAGCAATGGTGAAAACAGTTTTCTTTATGGGACAGGATCTGGCCGAAGCCCAGGAGCAGCTTCGCGCTCAGGCCTGGGAGCTCCAGGAAGAACAGCTCCGGCAGAAGGAGACGGCCGAGGAACTGCGCAGCGCCGAGGCCAAGTGCGGGGAACTGCGGGCCCAGCTGTTGAGACACTCGAGGCAGCTGAGGGAGAGGCTGGAGGAGACGGAGGCAGCAGCGCGGCGGGTGGAGGGGCTGCGCAAGGAGCTTGCCCGCAGTGAAAGTGGACGCAAGGAGGTAGGTAGCTGCACGCGGACATCCTCCTGCCTTCTCCACTTCCTTAGTCCCTTCTCTTTTTTTCTATCCCAAGTTAGGAAACTGATGACTTGGCAGTTAGAAGTGGAGCTGCCTTAAGAATTAAAAGGCCTTCAATGAGGTTTTGCAGCCCTGCAGAATACATATTTCCTTGCTTTGGTTTGCTGATTACCGTATTTGCCGGCGTACAAGATGACTTTTTTGGCCCAAAAAACATGCCTCCAAGTGGGGGAGTCGTCTTGTATGCCGGGTGCACTTCATTTGGGCCAGGAAGGAGCTGCTGCCGCCGCCGTTGAGTGAGTGACGCAGGGCTGCACTGCCTGGGGAGGAAGGCAGGCAGGCAGGCAGGCAGGCAGTCAGTCCGGATGGAGGGAGGGAAGCAGAGCCGGCCATGCCTGAGCGGCCAGAGCCCACCGCCAGGCTGCCTGCCACCCCATCACCCACCCAGTCACTTCCCCTCTTCCTTGCCCTCCTCCCTGCTGGCCATGAACTTCCAGGGCGGGCCCGGGCAGAGCCCCGGGCAGCCGCCGCCACAGCAGAGCCATCCACTCTATATTTTGAGTGGAAATGTTGGGGGGGTCGTCTTATATGGCCAGTTGCCTTGTATGCTGGCAAATACGGTAATAGAGTTCAGAAGGCACATTGTTGGTGAGGTATGGCAATTTGGGGGTTGCCTGACACCTTGTTAATCCGCTTGTCCATGAATCGGACTCTTCCTCCATCCTGCTCATTTCTGTCAAAACTGACCAGCAGTGGCTCTCTGGCATTCTTGGCAAGAGGATTTTTTTTAAAAGCTCGGATCTGAGTTGCTATGTGGGGTTGTATCTGAAAGCCTTTACATGTAAAGCAGGTATCCTGACTAGTGGTGTGCTCCAACGCAGATCTGCAGACTCCTGGGTCTTGCCCCCTAGAGAATGGCTTTCAGGTTACAGTATTTACCTCCAATGCTGCAGTGCTTCCTGGGAGTTGTAGTTCTTTGGGAAGCAACTCTGTAAAGCCTAATGGCTAGGGAGACTATGGCTGAAATCCTGTTGCTTTACATAATTAAGTCACAACTAGAGTTTACCTATTGACTCGGTTGAATATACAGAGGTGTTTACTCACCAAATCCCAACAGATGTGAGCCTACTCTAGTTGCTATGGCAAGCAACAGGATTTCAACCTATGACTCCCAACATCCTGCTGTCAGTCAGCCCTTCCCCATAATGTGACCAACCAGCAGCGGCCAGGCCCTCCTGGGTATGAAATTCGCTGGTAGCCATAGTTTCTCTGCCCATTAGGCTCTATAGAGGGTGCCTGCCAAAGAACTACAACTCCCAGGGAGCACTGAGTCCCAGCTCAGTTCAATGGAATTGACGTAAGTGTCGACTTTGTCATTTGGCCATTGATTCAGTGGCTGGAATCCTGTTGCTTAATGTAGAAAACTGCTGCTAGAGTAACCCCTTGAGACGGTATTTACTCTGATTCAGGGGGTACCTTAAATCAAAGAAACCTACCTTACTTGTGACTTGCTATGCTAAGCAACAGGATTCCAGCCAATGGATCTACTCTGCTTGAGACTAGCAACAGGATATTGGCCCCAGAAACAACTTTTTTTTAGCTTTCGTCCCCTCCCGTCATAATCTGCTGGATAGCTCAGTCATTTAGGCACCTGGCCGTGGAGGCAGAGGTCAGGAGTTGGATTCCTCACTGTGCATCCTTAAAAGGGGCTGGACTTGATGATCCATAGGACCCCTTCCAACTCTGCATTTCTAAGACGGTGATGATGGGGATTAAGTACTGTATACCAATGACAACTGCCTTGCACAGCAGGGTGTAGCACTAGCCCATAGAGTCCTTCCTATACAGTGGTGCCTCGCTTAGCAATGTTAATTCGTTCTGCAAAAATCATTGCAGAACTATAACGTCGCTAAGCGAAATAAAAAAAGCCCATAGAAACGCATTAAAACGTGATTACTGCGTTCCTATGGGATTAAAACTCACCTTTAAGCGAAGATCCTCCATAGCGCAGCCATTTTCGGTGCCTCTAAAGGGAGGAATCCGTCCCTAAATACAGCAGGTGGCCATTTCCCCCCCCGGCGTCCATTTTTAAAAATGCCGATCAGCTGGCCGAAAATGGAGGCTTTGCAATGATCGCTTCCCTGCAATCATCGCAAAGCGAAAATACCCCATAGGGACCATCGCAAAGCGATCGCTTTTGCGATGGCAAAAAGTCCATCGCAAAGCAATTTCTTCGCTCAGCAGAGCGATCGCTATGCGGGGCACCACTGTATAAAGATATCACAAAAATGCTCTCTTCTGGATTTGCCTTTTGTGGGTCTCATCTTAAGAAGTTTGTTCACTGGATTTGCAAAGCCATGCACTTAAGCTGTGGGCTGCTAGTTCCTGACCTCTCTAGAAGATCAACAGCTGAATGTGAAGCTGATGCAACTTTTCTATAGCATGCATGCCTCCCACATCAACATCAGAGCATCTTGGGGTGCACAGCCAGCAGTTTTCCCTTCCCTCCCCAGCTGAGCTATTCTTGACCTGTTGGCAACTTCGTTATTTCTTTATTGATTTTCCCCCCTAGTAATTGAAAACAGATATAAAATAATGATCACCCTGTTAGGTTTGAGACCAGAAGGAGCTAGACAACTGCAGGGCAAAAGTGAGCATATAGGCAGGCAGTGAAAAAACCTTCACAAATACATACCAGTACAGTGGACCCTCAACTTACGCAATTAATCCGTATTGGAACAGTGGCTGCAGGTCGAAAAGTCTGTAGGTTGAGTTTCCATTGACCTACAATGCATTGAAAACCGATTAATGCCGTAACTGGCCGTTTTTGTTCCATTTTGTGTTTTTTCTGGTCTGTAGGTCGATTCTCAGGCTGCAAGTCGAACCTAAATTTTGCAGCCAGAGAAGTCTGTAACTCGAAAAGTCTGTAAGTCGAGGGTCCACTCTAGAGGGAAGAGGGCTTGCAAGAACGATGCCTGGCCTAAGAAAGGGGATGCCCATTTAATGTTTTGCATACAAAAGGTCCCAAGTTCATTGCCCAGCACCTCCGGGGCAGAGCTAGGAAAGATTCCCCCCCCCCCGCCACAAACAAACTGCAGTTGATCAGTTCTAGAAAGGCAGCTGTGTTGGTCTGTTACAGCAGAAATGACAAATAATTTTGTGAAAACTTCAGTCCTATCAAGTTTTATTTTTTTCTACTCCTTCATGAACTGCAGACTTCTTTTGTTGTCGTATTTTAACCTCTTTTCTCCAGGATATGTGTCTGAAGCAGTGGGGTTCAGTCCATGCAAGTTTATGTCGAATAAATCTTGTTGGGATTTTGGTGTGTGTGTGTGTGTGTGTGTCACAAGACTCTTTGTCATTTTTGTTGTTGTTCGGTGTTGTGGGCTGTCAAGTTACCCCTGCCTTATGGCGAACCCATGAATGAGCAATCTCCAAAATGTCCTGTCCTCAACAGTCCTGCTCAGCTACCTGTGGTTTCTTTTAGGGAGTCAGTCTGTCTTTCATTTGCTCTTCCTCTTCTCCTACTGCCCAAAACCTATCCCAGGATTATTGTTTTCCCCAGTAAATATTTCCTTCTCCTGATGTATCCAAAGCAGGACAGCCTCGGTTTCAAGAGTTTTGCCTCCATGGATAGTTTAGGCCTGATTTGATCTAGGACCCATTTGTTCATCTTCCTGGCAGTCCAGAGTATCCACAAAGGTATTCTCCAGCACCATACTGTATTTCAAACACATTTCAAACAAATCAGGGTTTTTCCCCCTGTCAGCTTTCTTTACTGTCTAGCTTTGTAATATTTTTACTGTTGGTTGTTGTTGACTGAGGAAGGGGAGGGAACCTCCAGCCTATGAACCAGACCCGGCTCTTGGAGGGCCTAAACTTGGCCCACTGGAGTATTTGGAGTCTCCAGGGTCCAACGTTTGTATCTGGCCGTGGAATTCCTTGGCTATCCCAGTGGAAAAGGGTGGGTTGTGCATGGTGGCGGCTCAGATGCTGTTCCAGGCTGAGAAAAAGGTGTTTGCCCCCCTCTGTAGCTGGAAGCTCGGATTGAGGGTTTGGTCAATGAAGTCTCCAAGCAGCGGAAGGGGAAGGAGAGGTCTGAGCACCAGCTAAGGAGACTGAAGCAGGAGTTAGAAGACCTGAAAGTAAGTGCCTAGGATGGGGGTGGGGTGGTGGTGGAAGTGTCTGGGGACACCCCCATGGTGAGCAACAATCGTCGCATGCCCAGCGTGCCCAGCGAGCCAACCCCTTGCAATGGCTTTGCCGCTCCTGCAGGGCAAACAGAGCACACCTCTCCTCCGTGGCTCCGGCTCCCGGCGGTCGGTGGATGCCTCCTGCACCCCCAAGGAAGAGGTGCGGGGCTTACGGGAGCTGCTGAAAGCAAGGGAGAGGCAGCAGGAGGCGATGCAGGCAGAGATGGCTCAGCTTCGGGAGCAACTGGAGGCAGCCAGGGTTGAGAGGTGAGGAGGAGAAAAAGGGAGGGCGAGGCAGAAGGAGGACCTCTTCCAAACCACCAGCACTCCCCCTAGGCGGTGGGCAGGGGCAAAGTGGACGCCTCTTTCTTTTTTTTAAATGCGGGGAGGAGGTGCAGGTTGCAGAGCCGGGAAAAGTTATGTGTTGGGTTTTTTTTTGGCTCCCAGAATCTGCCTCAGCCAGCATGTGCAAGAGCAGCAAAGAGGGGGCTGTTAGCTGCGTGGCATAGTTATAGCAGTTTGATTCCACCTCTGTTGTCATGACTTCATCATAGGGCAATCCTGGGATTGGTAGTCAGGCAAAGGATTTTGGACATCTACCCTACAGAGCCCTTGTGCGCTTCCCTCCATGGCTGCACCAAATTCTAAGCCCCCCCCAACTACATATCCCAGCATGACCTAGTACAGAGCCAGAACAAGTCCCATCGGACTGCTGTAACAGTGCAATGCTGAATCAAACTGCTCTAAGTGTCTAGTGTACTGTGCTCCCCCGAAAATAAGACAGGGTCTTATATTAATTTTTGCTCCAAAAAAAGCAGTTGGGCTTACTTTCAGGTGATGTTTCATATTTTTTTCATGTACAACAATCTATGTTTATTCAAATACAGGCATGTCATCTTCTGGTTGCTGCACAAGGGTGGAGGGCGAGGTTTCACTTAACTAGGGCTTATTTTTGAGGTGGGGCTTATATTACGAGCATCCTGAAAAATCCTACTAGGGCTTATTTTCAGGTTGGGTCTTATTTTCAGGGAAACAGGGTAGACACACTCTTGATTCCAAACGCCCAGGTTCTCTTCTTGGCTTCAAGAAGGGATTTGGGAGATGAAATCTCACCTTTCTCTTTCTTTCCCTAATTGGTCTTCCTTGCGCAGGCGACAGAACCTTGATCTGAAAGAGCAGAATGTAGACAGGAGCCAGACCACCCTGCACTTACTGGACCAAGTAAGTATGCTCAAACTTTTTGAATGTGCTGCTATGTTCAGGAGCCCTGAGAGTCTTTGATTGGTCTTTGATTGGCCATGGCTGTCAGCTGCAGTTTCTGTACACATCAGAAGGAGAAGACTCTGGCCTCATCTGCAACAACCTTTGGGCTTCTTCTGGGCTAGGAAAAGTGCACTAGTTGGAGTCTTTGTCAGCTAGCATGGCCCTCGAGAAGAGAAGCAAACTGAGGGAGTATTGTGGGAGGTGGAGGTATCTATTGTCAGCTGTCCCCATTGCAAGGCAAAGTATTTTGGAGTGTGTTCATCCTGAATGGAAAATTAAGATCCATTAGCTTTACAAAAGACCCACTTTGGGTTGGTTTGGTGTTTGGGATTCATACAACGGCTTGGATTTCTGGACTGTGGAGACTGTAGAAATGAGCACATGCATTTTAAAACTCACCGTTCTTAACACTTGCTAAACTGTAACTGCCAACGCCAAGAAGATTTGTAACCCTGGTAGCTGCCAATAAATCTGAAATGTAAAATGGCTGACTATTGAGTGTTTGCTTTTAAAACTCTTGATACTCTATACACTGAGGCCTAAAAACAGTTGTGAGTTCTAACTATTTTATTTTACCATCCCACCTTTCTGCTAGCATCCGGACTCAGAGTGACTCACAGCATGAATTAAAAAACAGGTGCCACAGTGCATTGCGATGTTAAAAGACCATTAAATGTTCATATTACAAACAGTTTAAAAGGCATTTTAATTCCAGTCAAAGAGATTTTTATTCTGTGTTGGTTTAACCATACAGCATTTGAGGCAATGGGTCTAAACTCTCATTGGAACTAGCCATGGAATTTAGATCCTAAAACATAATGGAGAGTATTTTTCTCCGGCTGGCGTCCATTTCACTTCCTCTGAAAGGGAGCCTTACAGGTATGAATGACTTTTGCAGGTGGGCTGCCTTGGCACTAACTGTCCGCATCATGAGCGAGAGTGGGCCGTCTCGGACGCAGATAAGACAGCTGTTGGCAACTGGCAGATGCAGATTGCAGACCTCTTGCAGTGGTGAGCACTCCCAGTGTGTGGGTTGACCAGGGGCTGAGGCATGGTGGTGACCTATAGCTCTGAGCGTACAGTGAGAAGTTTTTTTCCTCCACTGAGAACATGCCAAGAGAATTCACTGGGCATGTGGTGTATATTTTGTGTTTTCCAGATGCGCTTTTAAATGTTTTCAAAATAGTTTTAGTGGTTTAAAGTGGTTTAAAGTGTGTGTAATGAGTTTTTAAATATTATAATAGATTATGTTTTTAGCAGTATTGCTTTTAATCCTTTTCTAAAGTTCCTTGAGTCCCGGGATCGGGTGAAAGGTGGGATAGCAATAAATTATATAAAAATAAGAAAATGAGGACATGCCTTCAAAGCAGGCTAATGCCACACTACATTTACATATGGAAAAACGGCACTTCACCCTCTACCATCTTTCCTGACTTCAGTTTGCCAGAAAACTTTTAGGGGTTTGGAAACCAAAAGCGATTTGAAATCTTTTTACTGGTGGGTATCAGCCTTTAGTCCTTCTGAGGTTTTGGATTTCGGCTCCTGATAGTTCTGACCATTGGGCCATGCCAGCTGAGGATTTTCAGAAGTGAAGTCTGAAACAAAAGTTTGAAAATTGATCCTTTTTAGTCATGCCGCCACCCCAGATGTGCCTGATGAGGACAGGCCTTCTCAGTGGCTGCTTTCAGCCTCTGGAATTCCTTGTTACAGGAAACTCTGTTATCTTTCTGCCAGCAAGACATTATCTTTTTTTATTTAGGGAAACCTGTAAATTAGTCTGCAGCTGAAGGGAACGGAAGGGGTTTGGTGGCAACAATATCTTTTTGTTGGGTTTTTAATCATTTTTAATTGATTGGTGCTTAGGTTATATTTTAATCAATATTTAGTTTACTCTATATTTTAGTCTTGATAGCTTTAGTATTAAAATGCCCTTTTTTCTTTTCTTTTGATGTATGGTATTTCTTTTGAAATATGGGTAATAATAAAATAAAGCCCTTCCTGATGCAGCTACAGACGTGTGAGAGGGTGGCCTTCCAGATGTTGCTGGGTGGCATTTCGTATCAGGCCTAGGCAGCTTAGCTAATTGGTGAGGAATGACGGGAGAAAAAGTACAATAACCTCCAGAGGACCCCATATTCCCCATCCACAGTACTACGCCATGAATCTATGTGTGCTGGATTTCCAGCCCCTGAGTTTTGCCTACCTGTTTACTCCTCTGTTAGGGTGAGCGACGAGAAGGAGTCTCGGGGCTACCTGCAGGCCATGGCCAACCGCATGATGGAAGAAGTGGAGGCTCTGAAGCAGGCGGGCTCCCAGAGCCCTGGACCAAAAACTCCAGTAAGAGTCCTACCTGGTCTAAGATGTCTTGGAGAGATGCAGGTTCTCCTTTCTCCCTGCCACAGTTTTCCTTACCAATCCCCACCAATTTGCTGCACCTGGTGGGCCTGGGATCCTTTCCCCCTCTTCACCACCCTGCACCACCTTGTTTTCCCTGTTGCAGAGTTTGGAATCTCTTGTTAAATTAGTTGAGCAGCAGAAATACAGGGATTCTCAGAGCAGAATACAGTATCTTCAAGTCCACTCCTTTTATTCTTCAATTGGCATAGTCTCAGTAACTCACTCTCAGACATTAGCAGTAGAAAGAATAAAAGCATTTATTTACATACAGTTGAACAGATCAGACAGCAGACTGACAAACGTGACTGCTTTCAGCAACGAACATCAAACTCTAGAGAGGGAAAAAGCACCGAGCAGAGAAGTTGGGTTTTTTTTAAAATCAGAGGGAGGAGGGAACTATTGGTTAACACTGCATAATTTGACATTCACTCCAGCAGAGAAAGGTTTCCCCCAGCCAAACAAAATAAAGGCAGCATGTGAGATTGCTAAAACCTCCAGCATTCTCTGGAGAGCTGTTGCTGCCAGTCAGAGTTGACAGCCCGAGTTCTGTTCCAATATAAGCCAAACCTTTTGTCCTGTTCTTCTTCCTTACCTGGCGCAGGACACCCTCTGGAAGGCTCGTCGACTTCAAAAGGTGGAGGCCTCCGCCAAGCTGGAGCTGCAGTCAGCACTGGAGGCCGAGATCCGGGCCAAGCAGGGTGTTCAGGAGGAGCTGGATAAACTGAAAGTGGCCCACGTGGCACTGGAGCGGTGAGCAAAGATATGAGGGTGCGATGTGGCAGCAGCCATGTTGTGTGTGAAAGGCAGGATGGGAAAATCAACCACTGTGGTCAAGGCTGTCCCCAGAAATTTTGCTGTCTTGAGGCAAAGGGCAAGATGGTGCTCCATCTCTTTTCCACATAGGGAAGCTAAGTGGAGTGGCTGTCTAGACTCACTTCAGCA